ACTTGTATACATGCAAATTTTTCCAGCATGCAGATCAACATCACAATCTGAGTGTGAGGGAAGAGGGGGGAGGAGGGGGGAAGAGTACTCTATGATTTGTTGGGCAGGAGTGTCCTCTGTGACCCGAGAACCCTTAGCCTTTACCACTCCATGTTCTGCTGCAATTTTTCCACCCTATCTATTCTGGGCATATGTCTTTGTAATATGTGTGCAAAAAAAGCCTACACTTTGTGAGTTAAGTGTTACCTTGCACGGTACAAACCCGGCTTGTTTTAACAGCACTAATAATAAGCCAGTAATTGCAAGTTCACCAATATGTTTCATCTCTAGATTAGTTAATCCACGAGTTTGGCCATAGGTCTCCTTTGATTATTACTTTGCTCTCTTAGCATTGTACAACTCCTCCTGAATCTCATGTGCAGTGCAATTTTCTCTTTTTTCTTAAAACTCTCCAATTACAACTGTCAGTCTGTCGATTATACAATGTCATGTCCAGTCACAAATAGTCACACAATTTCTGGTCACCAGAATTGGTTAGCAAAGTCATTAAAAGCGCTTCCTTTCTCAGCGATTTCTAAAAGTCGTACAGTTTTGGAATTTTGAATTGCCTGGTTAGCGGGTTAAATGAATGGAAACAATTTACATTTAACTAGAAAATGTTGGTCTATATACAAACACCTAGAAAGAATTTTCAGCTGGTTTATTGGCCTATTGAATTACTGTTTATTTATTTTACATGAATGTAAATGATTATGTTGTTCAGGTCCCCTGTGGTCTCAGTTCATTGACAGCAAATTTTGATGCAGAGCCTGGAGTATGAAATTTTGCAAACCAAAGCGAATTTCCCTTTGGGCGAGCGAGAAGATTTTCATGAGCGCAAATCCAAAGGGAGCTTTAAAATTGAATACAGGCAAAAATGTAAGCTTGTTCTTTTGTTTACATTTGAATTCATGCTGAGTTAACGTCAAAACTTGACATAACAGTCATGCAAATGTATCAAATCAAGAAATCGACAAAAAGAAATGTATTCTGTAACTTCTCTGATCTACTCGGTAATGGCTGCCTTTGCTGTGCAAACTTCAAGGGACTTTTCACGTTGAATTCCTTTGTTGTCCCGAGTCACATTAGAAGTAGGTCACCTGTGTCGATCGCGTGTGGTTGATTCTTCACTCAAATTTGTGGCCATACCATAAATCCTCAAATTAGGGCCGGGGCACTTATTTCAAATTTAGGAGAAGATGGGGGCGCTTATTCGAGGGGGGCCCTTATTTAATTTTTCCCAAATGGTGGCCTGACATGATCAGTTTTTTTAATACATCATCTGCACATTAAAGGGGCAGTCTCACCAAGAGTTAGTACTTCTTGAAAATCCAATGAAGGTGTTGGTATTAATTGGATATCCACTAGTACACATGTAGTTGCTGGCCTAACCTTGCTAAAATGTACCGTACTAGTCACGAAAGTTGTTTACAACTGTTGTGGCTAAGGACGAGTAGGAAAGAAGTGGTCTAAAACTTGAAAACGTCGGGCCGATGTTTTCAAGTTCGACAATGTTACTTGGAGGAAAATCACTAAAAATCATTGACCTCTTAGGGATTTAATTTTATGCCTTTTGATCTTATAAAGGTTATTTTGTTGATCAGTGAGTGCACTTTTATAATCCTAGCATAGTTTGCACAAAAAACTTAGGAGACCTCTTGTGATACTGCCCCTTTAACAACAACATAAGCTGTTTATCAACATAAAAAGCTGATCCTAAAGTATAAATTGTGGCACCATTGGTACTTAGCGTGTTCACAAACTGAAACAATGTTCAAATTTAACGCTACATGACGGAAACCATACATCCTTTGTTGTCTCAGTAATCGTCCACAAAATGGGACGAGGGGAGGGGGCGCTTATTTAAAGGGGGTGCTTATTTTAAATTTTGGCCAAGGGGAGAGGTGCTTATTTGAGGGGGGTGCTTATTCAAGGGGGGTGCTAATTCAAGGATTTACAGTAATTTCCTTTCAGTTCAGCATTGGTAAACTTGAGCAGCGGTTATCTTCAAACTAATGTACACATCAGACCAAGAGGTGATTTGAAAAAGAAATTGCTCACTTTGATTTGGAGGTAATTTTCAGAACCCATCTGGTCGAATCATGTGTTCAACTAAAAAGCAAAAGGTTGCAATAATTCTAAGAAAAGGTAACAAACAGAATCAAAAAGATAAAGACAAACAATTTACAGATATTTCCTCCTATTGATATGAACTGGTAGATTGAAGTAACTGATAAACTTAACTGAAACTTGACACAATTGACACGATTGCTGCATGACATAACACATACTGAACAAAAATCTTTCGCAATGAATCACATGTATTTTACATGAATATATTTTAATTACATTATTTTAATGTAGTAGTACACACGACCCCACAAGCTTTGTAGCTTTGATTCTTGTTGTGTTGAAATAAAGGTTTTATGTTTATATGTTTAAGTTATGATCTACGAGTTAAATTTTAAATCAGGTGTAACGCATGTAGGGGAAAAGTCACGCAAGTTTGAATCCTACTACTGGTCCCTTAATGCAAACTGAAAGCATTTAAACTTAGTTGAGCGATTCAAACAGAAAAAACTTCAGTAATATATTGTCACTAAATCCATTCAAAATGGTTCATCGCAATCAAGTCAATAAAGAAACAACTGTTCTCTGTTGTTAAAAGCAAACTTCTTGGTTGAGGACATAGACTGCGAGCAGTCTCTCTTTTGCTCTAAAATCCATGGGGAAGAACGCAAAGAAGAATTCAACACAAGTGAGTGGTGGCTCGTGAGCGTGCGAGCATGATATGCAAAACCGTGAGCTGCTGCGCTGCTTGAGGCTTT